AGTGTAATGATTAACACCTTTATGGGCTTGTTCACACCATGTCTGGACCGGAGCAGTTTGTTCCTGGACCAAAAAAGCATCCCAATGTATCCCTTTTGATATTTCAAGGCTCTGTTCACACCAGCTAAATCTGTTTTTGGTCCAGACACAAAACAAAATACTGCTGTTCTCCTTTTCTCTGGTCTGCAACACATGGAAACGCATCATAAACAGACTGCACTGCACCTGAAAGCCCATTTTAAGTTTTAAAAAAAGCACGGCAAAAATCCACTGCACTGCATTTGCAGATTTGTCCCAGATCTGGTCCGGAAATGGTGTGAACATAGCTGTGCAAGCTGTCTGCTCATAGGCTAGAGTGCTGAATAGCGGTGTCCCCGTGCTGTGGATGGAGGCGTAGGGGTCTTGAGAATAATTGAACAGAACTTTAAATCCCTTTAGCAGGTCACATCTATACATTTCAGCACTCTGTCCACTTGTTTGGTTGAGGTTCAAGTTAATTTGCGCAAACTGCTAGAGATGTAGCTTTGTAAATCACTTGCGGCTTGCAAAGTACCTGCTGTGCCTGATCTACAGAACTTTGAAACCAATGTGCTCATCTCCACCCGTGGTTACAGTACTAGTGACATGTTACAATGATGACACCATGTCAGTCGTACACTATATAGTACAGTGAAAGCGCTAAGAATGTCTTTGTTTTCCTTCTCCCACCTAGATGCTCCGATGTATAGACCTTGATGACCGGTTAAAAGCAATGGATCAGGAGATCACCGTGAACCCACAGTTTGTTCAAAAGGTAAGAGTTTGTGTGTGTTTTAATGTCCACCTAAAGTGTTTTTCTATATCCACATATATAGTATAGTACTTGGGCCCATCGGTGCTTTTGCCATAATGTGTAAGTACGCACAGCATATGTGCACATCATGGCATGCTTAAAAGAAAACTATGGGGGTAAGTGTTTTTCCCCATAGTTCTCTTAAGGGGTCACTGGAGGACATATACTAGCGTCCTCCCATGACCCCAAGCTCAGTATGGCAGGCTACAGCTCGTGGTATACTGAGACCACCGCAGCCGGGACGGATCCCGACAATGCTGTCGATCTACCCAGATGCGTGAGTGACAGCTGGCTCAGCCTACCTAGAGGCAGAGCGAGCTGTGCACTCCCCCGTCCGTTCCTCCAGTCAGTGCTGGAGGATCGGGGGGGATCCCTGCGGAGAGCGGTGACTCGCAGTCACCACTTTCTGCAGGGAGATTGAGAAGTGAGCGAGTGACAGCTGTTACTCGAGTGAAGACAGGCCTCCTCGGCACTCCAGCTGTGGTGAAACTACAAATCCTGTCATCCCTGTGATTGTCATTCGTGCAATGCCCCATGAAGCTTGTAGTTCTACAACAGCTGGAATGTCAAGGGCCAAGGTTGCCCCTCCCTCCCCCATTCTATAGTATTCCCCTTTTGCTCCTTCCCCAGCAGCTACATCATAAAAGGCTATATAAAGAGGGGAGGGGTGGTGAAGCTGCCCAGACAGTAACTTGGACACTCGAAGTAAGGGATATGCTGTGCAAGGAGGGAGGGGGGCCTGTGCTGCGGATTTTACACGAGCATTTGTTCTTTTTTTTTTTTTCCCCTTTTCATCCTCTAAGTGGGTGAGCTTGTGTGAACTGTCCTGGAGGATTAGAGGAAAAGAGTTCTGTGACTCCAGCTTTCTGTGTTGCCTGCAATGAGTTTAGGTAGTGCGTGTATATGAAGTGGTCTGTTCTGTGTTGCAGAGTATGGGCTCACAAGATGACGACTCAGGAAGCAAGCCATCCAGTTACTCTTGAAGGGGAGAATTTCCTGCACCTCCCAAACTCCAGAATGTGGATCGTCAACAATGCAAAACGTTCTCAATTCAGCCTAAAACACGTCTTCGCAAAAGCAATTGGGAGAAGCTCCATTTTTGCCCGGACATTTAAATAAACCTGGAAAACCAATATTTATGACGTCTCTCTCTGTCCTGTATACGTTACCAGTTATAATCTGAGGGACGGAATACAAACCTATACAAATAAAGTCTGTTGTGAATTTGTCTCTGGAAAGACCGTCATTTCTATCTGAAGGAATTCATCTGTGCGGTACTATTAAAGGGGGGCTGTCGGAGTACATGAGGGAACTGCCATTGTGAACATTCCTCATGGAAAGTGTTACTACATTCTTATACCTTGTTATACTACTTTGCGAGTCCCTGACCTGAAACAAGCGAACGGCAAATATCCAAAATGCTGACCTCTTAAAACTAAGGCTTCGTTCACAAGGGTGGCAAAGATCTATAAAGGAATAAGAAATGTCATACCTGGTATATTTGACACCCGAAGCTGATCATTTATTTGGTGGTCACTGGGGAAAATGTCTACTTACATTAGTGGTCAATGAAGTGCCCCTTTTCAATGGTTGTCCCTTAGACCATGACACTTTACACTGGACGTCTATGGAGAACAGCTCCTAAACATTGGTGGTCTGTATAATAGTGCCCACTTACATTGTAAATCAGAGACACGGTTTATTTTACATTGGTGGTCAGTGGCAGCGGTGCCTACTTGCCGCCGGGGTCAGTGGCAGATGTGATCAGATGTCACGTGATGTTACACGGGTGAGCAGTGCAATGCATCCTGGTGAGTGGTGTTGGGAGCAGAACCACGCATGCACCATCAGGTAGGAAACATTCACCACTGCTCCATCTCTGGAGGTACTTCAGGATATTGTGGAGCCCTGGTTGAGTAAAGCTAGTATGGACGTTACTGTGTTTTAATCAATCTTGTGCCAGGGCTGAAGTCTTAGCCCTCATTCGCACTAGAAGAGGCCGGCGCGTACAGCTGCGTGCACAGCCGTATCGGGCAGCTCCCCGGAAGGACAGGTGCTACGTGTAAATTTGGTATGCAGCCCCGGTCCTTCTCTATGGGAGTACGCGGCCATACACCCCCCTACGCTCACCTCAAGTGCAGGCTCGTGTGGGTGACCCGGGATGCCGACAGGACCCATCCTGTCAGAGTACACTCACCCGCCCTGCTTGTCCGTGCGGGTGAGCGTCCTGATACGCTGACAGCAAGGGGCGTACGGCTGCGTACTCCGATAAGACAGGGGGTGCATACTAATCACACGCAGCACCTATCTTTCCTGGGAGCAGCCCTATACAGCCGCGCACGCAGCTGTACACGTCGGCCTTTTCTTGTGTGACCGAGTCCTTAATTGCTGACACAACCTGTAACCACAACCTTCACTTCTTCCCAAGTTTGGATTAGACACTGCCACTGTGCCTACACATGGCCTACAAACCCACCTTCCC